TTATCATTCTGTAGAATGCCTAAATGTTATGTACAATGCCTAGGTAAAACATATAATAATTCTCGTGTTTCCTTCTTTGCCTAAAGAGCATTTGCCATTCTGTAGAATGGGTAGGAATTATATACAATGCATAGGTAAAATGTATAATAATTTTCATATTCATGACTTTGCCTAAAAACGCCAGGTATTCTATAAACTGCGTAGTATTCTATAGAATGCCGGTGTTTCACACATTGCCTTTAATATATATATATATATATATATTATATATATATATATATAAGTAAGGTATTGGTACTAGTATGAAGGTAGTTTTTAAGTGTGCCAGCATTTTACTCAATCACGCTATTAAGACGTTTTGTTGAATCAGCTTTTGGACATTTATTAAAAATTTAAACATTTTGAATTTTATTAACTCTTATTTTAGCTTCTAAAACAACTTACTACATTTAAGGGATTTAACTTTTGGATGCACCATAGAGCATTGTATTCGCGTAATGGGATTTCATTTTAGCGAGTGTTAATTGAAGGATTTATACATTATGCAAGCAGTGAAAAATCTTACATTGCTAAAGTAGTTTGTCTCAGCAGTTGAAGGGTGGAATTTTTTTAACCTTTTTAACATTCGGCCAACCCTCTCCGCTATACCCTCTCCGCTACCGTCTACCCAATACGCAACGGAGCAGAAGTTGCAGCAACAACGTTTCAGGCATTCGGCCTTGGTATGTTTACACGCGATGATGATGATTCCAAGCACGGAGAGCTTTTATTACGTAATTCAAGTCAAACGACCAGTGACGGGTAAAAAAGTCGCATCTTCGAACATATGCACTTTTTCTTTTTAGCTTCTATTTAATTTTTAGGGAATTTTGTGAGCTAATAGGGAAAGGAAATATTCGTATGGTTGATTTGTTTCACTATCAGCTTTGTTGACGATGTGTTTTGGGAAACACAGAAAATCGTTATATGAGATTTATTACCCCCTCGAAGCTTTGCCGTAGTTCCAGTTTAATTTCGAACGTTATCATTCTTTGAAAAAATAATTTATTTACTTTAAAGATACCCGTTAAATTCGTTTGCACAGGCAGCCGTATTCAGCAAAATCGATCCAACGTTCAAATTGAGAGTTGCATGAGCTGCACCTTTCATTTATTTCCCTTTCATAAGTAATTGAAAAATCTGGTAACCCGCATCAACGGACTCATGAGGACTATTTGCGTCCTACGGGTTGGATACACCGTTGCATTAGAGAAAAATGTCATTAAGATTAATTAAAAAAATAAATAAAAATCTGAAAGGTTTCAGGTTTTGACGGGTCGCCCAAAAGGATTTGGAAGGGTTTTTACGCTCTTGCTGAGATCGCAGTCCGCTGTTACACTCAGCCCTACAAACTCATTTGTTTTGTCTTTTTAGCTTTATAATTAAGCATAACTTTCTTCGAAGTTACGTCATGCGTTATTCAACAGCAAAATTTAAAAAAAAACTAAGAGCAGTATACATTTAGATTTCCCTATGCAGCGTTAAGTATTGGCACATATTTTTCTGACCTTTTTTTTTGTCTTTTCTCAGTTCATCATATCAATTACTAAGATGACTAAGATGATAAGAAGATATCTAAGATGACTTTACAATTCTTTCTTGTCATTTTAAGATTAGTGTGTTTACTTTAATAAATATCACGTTCTTGGCGTTTAAAAGTCTATTCAAGTCTGTTCAGTGGGCATTCATAGTCTATTCAATAGTCTGTTCAATTCATAAAAGTCTATTCAATGGGCATTCATAGTCTATTCAATAGTCTGTTCAATTCATAAAATTCTATTCAATGGGCATATAATTCGATTTGACAGCAAAATTAGACAAATTAGCAAAATTAGGATTTCCATTAGACAGTCTCGAGCGATGGAGATAATAATATTTTTTTCCGTACAGTGTTGCCACTATTCGCTTTAAAATCATTGAGTTTGTTAATAAAAAATTCGTTAAAGCTTTACAAAATATGAAAAAGGTAATAAAAGAAATTCGAAATTCAAATTCCGCCTTCCAGTTTTCCATGTTCGGGGGGAGGACTATGTTACGTTATTAAAATTGGATAACTCTAGGTAACTTTGTTTTCTCACAATGCGAGAAACATGCACACATTCATGCAGATTCTCCATTATTTAGTTTCTCTAAATATTGTTGCAAAATGCCTAGGGACTGAGCGGTGAGACAGCTTCCCCGTAAACGGTGTTAGGATTGCCAGAAAGTGTTAGACAAAAGCAGGAATGCCAGATTTGGCGCCCATTGGTGACCCCATTTGGTGACATTTTGTGACAAAATTGGCTACATGCCATAGACGAAGCGAGAACATTCTAGAACGTATTTTTAATGATTTTCTCGGGCGTATTGTCGAAGGTAGGTTAAACCTGCCTGTACTGTTATACCCTGCCTGTAAGGGGGAGAAAGTAGTATTTTGAGAGCAGGGATTAGCTTGAGAGCGATCGACTGAGTCGGGAGATGTACATTAGAGCTTTGCCGGGAAGCTATATTCATCGTTACAGCCTGAAGGCTGTGTTGCTGATTGTTTTAGCACGTTTGTCGTAGTTTTTCGACGAGTGTAAACGTGTCTTTGGAACTGTCCTGTGTGTCCTGTGTAATAAATTGTATTTTGATTCTTTATCAAACATTATGATCAATTACTCCAAATCCATGAACCCGTAGAACGCAACAATATAAAAGAAGGCTATAATATTTGGTGGCAACAATTTGAAAAGTCATATACCATTTATAGTGATTCAACGCATTGCCGTTTCGAGACTAAAATCCATTCGGGATTAACATCCTTTATGGGGTTATGACTTATCAAAATCAATAAAAATAACTTATTAAAATTACTAAAATTAACTTGCTTAGATTTTTATTTAATATTTAAACTTCTAATCAAGCTACATTTTAACTGATACATTTTAAAAATAAATAAACTTGTTTCAATTGAGCTCGATATTTTCACTCTCCAGAGAAAGATGCTATTGTTTTCACCATGCGAGTTGCGTATTTCGGCAACATAAAAATATTATCACTTCTCTTTCGTGAAATATTTGCTACAAGTAAAACAATTTCCGCGTGACATTAATTTAGGATAAATATTTCATGTTTGAAGACCTCGTATTGAGTAAAAGATTTTATGTTATGCATTTGAATTACTAAGGGTAAATTCATAAGGCTTATATACCTGTTTGTCTTAAAACTATTTCAGACTGTAAACTGAAATCCAGATGCAAAGAAAAAATTCTATTTTCCCCCTATTTATATATTTAGTATTTTTTTTCGTGTGTGTAAATTTTTGATAGTAAACCTTTTTTCAAATTTTTAGACTGTAACCTGAAATTTCAAGAATACAATTTTTTTCGCTTGTTTCGCATTATTCCTCTTTTTTTTTAATAATTTGTTTTGATTTTACTTAAAAATTGTCTTCAGAAATCAAGTTTTTTTATGAAATATGTTTTAACGTTACGAAATTTCTTAAGTGTCTTAAGTTTCAGAGTATATTCAAGTCTTGAATAAGAGGAAATCGTAGCAGAGTTTCTTGAAACTCAAAGATGTTTTCTGCGTGGCTCGCCATGGTAATCTGATGACTTTAAACCTAAAAGCAGCAAATAGAAATTTAATTCTGTCAGAAATATTTATTTTACTTAATAATTAGATCTGTGATTCTTTTCTTCACCCTCTCTCTTCTTTTTTGTGCAAAATAACACATGTTTTAAAATTTTCTGAATACGATAATGTTTTCAGTACTTTGGCAATACGAAGAATCCTGAGAGTGTCGTTCCTCAGTCTCTCTATTTTGTGCAAGACGATACTTTTTTTAAAGTTATTCCTCGGATCTGTTAATTTTTTTCAGTAATTTGGCAATACTAAGAATCCTGAGAGGGTGTGTTTTCGTCATTATGGGCCAACATTACGAACTGCCAAAAAATTGAGATCCACAATCAGAGCATTACTGCGTAAGGCCACAAGGCCAGAACCTAAAGCTTCGGACTTTATGGGGCTCAAAAAGTCCTACTCCTGGGTACTCCTGAAATAATATTATATCAGAACCTCGACTGCCTTAATTAGACCCTGCAAAATGTTGTTGACTGTGCTGCAGGAAATGTTTGTAAAGGAGTGCATGGAATTTCTAAAGGAAAAGACTCTCTTTGGCTAGCACCTTCTCCTGTTCTGTTAGCACTTCTCCTGTTCTATTAACATGCGAATGCTTTCTTTTGGATTGTCAAGTATATACTAATAACCCTAGGAAACTAGGTCAAGTATATATTAATAACCTAACGAACTCAAACTCAGGGTAACATATCACAAAAACCTCATATACCAATCAACATGGTCCAACAAGCAAATTAAAATATGCTTGACAGTATGCAGGAGTTATAATAACGCAATTTTATTTTTTATTGTTTCGTAAAATAAATAGGTATTGAGTTAAATTTCTCGGTTCATTTCATTCTCAAAATCGTTAAATTCCCATGACCTGTCCTATATGAGGCCAGCTTTGGTGTAAGGTTAGGATTTAATCTGATTTTAAAAACATAAACATAATTCTTACATCTCATTGTAGCCTAGGAAAGTTTATTTACATTTAAATTCGTGGATGCGACTAGTTTTTCAAAGTATTCTATTTTCGGATGAAAATAAAGGACAAAACTCTTTAATGCATAATCTTTTAAATTAGTTTTTGAAGGCCACCTATGATTACCATATCAGGTTTGCGACTACTAATTCCGTTTGCAACCAAAATCCATTTATAATCTGGAAAAGATAAAAACATTTATGCAGCAACAAGTTAACGAATAAAATTTTGCTGCACGATGCAAACCGGACTTCTCCGTCCACAACTCATCGTTTTAAAGCATTTTAAGATTCACAGTTAAGTCGGTTGTTGTTTGGACAAGAAGAAACCTTCGGTCATCTCTAATCACCGATGAAAAGAAATAAAAAAACAAAAACGTCAAGCTGGACTGACGCCTCGGATAACAACGATCGCTTGTGGAGCGCGTCTTTCTCCGGTTTTCTTTTATCTTGTTTATTTGGATTATAAGTTTTTCAAAGACAGCGCGCGTGCATTTTCTAAAGAGTTTCAAAGTGTTTTTCATCTTCTCTGGCAAACGAGTTCTTTTTTAGAGAGTTGAATGTTTATGCTGGACAATCTAAACATAACAGAGCTCTCGAGAGATAGCGTCCGATTGCTGAGATAGTAGCATGCGTTCCCGGCACAAGTTGCTCGTGGATGATTACGGAAAGGTCGCCAAGTATTTGGATTGCATATTCGCTTGGTGGATTGTGAACGCTTCTCGGGTTTGGTGAATTAAGTCTAATCTGCCAAAGCGATTTATTAGGAAGTAGATAAACCTTGAAGGTAAGTTAGGTCTACGTTCATTAATCTATATTGCCTCCTTCGAGCAAGAAGAAAATTCCCTTTCTTACGATATAAACATTTCCAGACATTTTTCTAAATAAACATCGTGATCATAACTGTATTAACAACTTCAGTAACGATAATGAATTAGAACTCAGAAACGATTTTACCACCAGCCATACCTCTAGGGCAGTGGTGCCCAAACTTTGGCCTCTCGCGAGCACATTTTGGCCCATCGCGAGCACATTTACAAAACATCAAAATTTTCGTTAAACATATTTCCAATCTTATGTGATACATCTGACAAATGGGTTTGAGATAAATAACAATATTGGTTTAACTTTATGGAAATCAGAGAAGAGGAGTTCAAAATTAGTTTTCAGTGCATTTAGGTTTTCCGAGTATTTCTCTGTTTCAATTGCCTTGTGGTTATTAATATAGCTTGATAAATTCTGAAAGTGGGTGAAATTCTTTTCTTTCATCTGATTTATCCACAAATTTAACTTTATCTGAAAAGCAATTACAATCCTAGTCAATTGAAAAAGGGTTTTTTCTATTCTCTGGAGATCTTCGTGCAGTTTGTTCAGTTTAGCTGTTATATCCGTGAGAAAATACACATTGGATAACCAATTATTATCGTCCAATTCTTTATAACCTTCTTTTTCGGATTCCAAAAACTGCTTTATTGGCGAAAGAAGTTCTGCAAATCATTGAAGTACTTTTTCCCTGCTGAGCCATCTAATATCGGAATGAAGCAATAAGATTCCATGTTCGCTATCAAGTTCATCAGTCAGCAATCAATTATTTTATAACGTCTTGCAAGGTATCTCTTATGACTATAAATGCTTATCATATTTTAACAATTATGAAATATAAATGAATGGTTATTTTTAAAATAATTTTTGTTCATAGTCCCTAATCGGGTTGGCGAGCACGTACAAAACGATCGGCGAGCACAAGGTTGGGCACCGCTGCTCTAGGTCTATGGACGTGAAGGTAGGGGGAAAGGTTTTCTCAGTTTTTAAATGTGTGATCAGGATTCTGAATGGGTTAACAAATAAATGGTGGATCGTTAAATATCTTCTGTTTTTTAAATAGTAAAATGTTATTACACCTCAAAGAAGATCTAATTGTCTTTACCTATAGTATAAAATCTTGTCCTAGCAAAACTGACGGATGACAAGAGCAGAAAGCATGCATCTGGAGAAGCTTTTGGCAAATATGTTACGACAGAGGCATATATAAAGACAGTTATTAACCATTCAAATCTTTATTATTGTATGTAAATGATGTAAATAAGAATTCAATTTAATTAATTAAAACTGTATTCAAATGATAATTTTTATAAACATTTGCAGCTTATTAGTTATCCAAAGATGCGTCAAATTCCGTGTAATCTGTAGCTAGAATCGTTTTTTTTATTAATCTGCTGTTTCAGATACAAATTTTTTTTAATATTAAGAAATTTTGAATGGTACTTTGCTTTTCGAAGAGTAGATTCTAATCTAATCTAGTCTTTAGATTGTGATTTAATGTTAAATAAATACTATTAAACTATTATAAATAAATATGTGGTAAAGTCTTTCATCGTGATTTCCGCTGAAAATGATGAGTATTTAACAGAACTTGAGTAAACATCGTTATCATATACCTCCTGTTTAAAGCCAACTACTTCGACAAAAGGCTAAAATCATTTGAAACTATGAATGGCCGTCTTAGATAAATTTTATTGTCTGCGCAAAAGGGAGATATTTGTGTTTCGGCATTTTTGAATTTAAAAAATTAGTTTTATAAAAATGTCGAAATCTAAGTTTTAATACGGTCTTCTGTTCTCTGGTTACGTTTAGTAAAAGTTTATACTTATTCTAAAAAATAAAATACGAAACATTTGATTCCCATGGGACTATATGACTCAAGTAATTTAATTTTCAAACTTGAGATCATATTCAAAGAACGTACACAAACTGCAAAACGAAATGCTTGCATTTGTATGGAACTAAAGATGGAATTTCAGTTTACGAAAAGTTTTCTAACACTAATTGATAAAATGATGACTTCTGCAGAGTGTCGTGGTAAATATCTGCTGTGAAAATAAAGTTTCCATAAAGACTTCTGTAAACACTATAGAGAGTATAGGGGTTTTCATCTTTTTTTGGCAGTTTGCCCAGAAAGACTATTAATTTCGTTTTAACATTTTGCGTTGAGTCACTATAAGCGTTGTTTCACTCTTCAAATTGTTTCTTCCAAATATTATCGCCCTGTATTATATTTAAAGAAATTAAATAATAATGAATCTGCATAAATGTATGTACGTTTCTCGCATAGTGATAAAAAAGCCGTACCTAATGCCATCCAATTTTGAATAACATAATTCTCCTGCAAATATGGGCATCTGGAAACCCAAACTTGGAGTTCTGGATTTGTTTTATTATCGATTTCATATATTGAAAAACTTTAGCGAATTTTTGATTAACAAACTCAAGGATTTTAAAGCGAGCGATGGCAAAATTGTACAGAAAAAACATTTTTATCGCCGGTGCTGACACTGTGTATCGGAAATTCTAAAGATAGGCTTAATTTAAAATTATTTTGCGATATTGCTATTGAACTGAATTTAATGGTTTAAGTGCGAAGAGCATGATATTTAATAAATAAAGGTAACACATAAAATGTTAAAAAAACGCCCCTTTGGACGTAATTTAAAATCTGAAACCTTTCAGTCCCCCCCCCCCATGTATCCCTTTCACCATTGATAAGCAATCATCCTCTCTCTTTTTTAAAACTAGAATTTTTTTAATAAACTTTTTAATAAACTTTTTTAATAAACTAATATAATTTTTTAATAAACTTTAAAACTAGAATTTTTTAAATAAATTTGTAAGAATTAGGTTAATTTTATTAACAGTTAAATTTTAAGTTTCTTTCCTGTCAAATTCTTAACTTCAACTTACTACTTCCGGCCAGAACGTAGTTTTGGAATCTTGCTGAATATTTAATGAGGAGGAGCGGTATTTAAACTACGAAGTTATTTACAGAGTCAGAGAGAATCAGAGTTTCTGATATACGCGCCTCTGCCTTTTTGGCCACTCTCTCTCTCAGAGCTGTTATTACGCTCGGCCGTACTCAGGCCCTTGCTAAGCTTTGTAGTCAAATAAGTGAAGGGACCAACTCGATTTGAATCTTGATAGCTTCGGCTATATTTCTTTAGTTAATCTTAGTTTTAGTTTAATTCTTAGTCTCTTAAGTTTAAGCCCAAGTGAGGGCTTTGTTTGTACACTTCCAGGCGGAGTTTTGTTAAATCTTATTGGAATAACAAAGGGTTAGTTACCCTTCTATTTTGTTGTTTCTTGTCACCCGAACTTGAGCGATTATTCGCATATCAGTTCTTAAGATTCTTCACTTCCAAAATTAACTTAGAATTACAAAGTGAGGAACTCTACAAACTTATTAAATTAATGTGTTTCATTAAATAAGCAAGAATAAGCTTATAAAATGTTGATAAATACCAAAACATGAATAAAAGTGATTTTTTATATTTATAAACTAGAACTAAATTCTTAGCAGGTAAATAAAAGACTGACCTTAGTCCCTTCTGAAACTATAAAGTTTCAAGGGAGAAATCTCCCTCCCCGGTTGAGAACCTTAGTATTGACAATGTACGGTGACGCGTCATGCTTTAGGGGCATCAGATACTATTGCGTGAGACGAATGAATATCCTCTCGAAAAAGTCTCAAGATTTACTGAAAATCTCCGAACTCCCGATTCAATTTCTCAGAAAATTATGAAAATTGCTTTTGTTCGTTTGAGAAATTATGATTTTTTAAACGTGAAAATTGTTTATTGCATCAAACTGTGCGTGTAAAGTGCGACCATGTCATACGTGTGGAATACAGCTTAGCTTTGCTTTAGTTGATTCTGACAAATCACACTAGGGCTGTCTGCCTAAGGGCAGGGATGCCTTTATGGAGGACATTCTAAGTGAAACTGGCTCATACACATGTTACACATATTTATATATCATCAGATGAGCAGCTGCACCGCCTTTAACACATTCAGCTTAGACATGTTACACATATGGAAAACGCCCATCCAGCGAGCCCATTTGCCTGAAATCGAACCCAAGTCAGAACTACCAGTGTTCAGCAGAGATTTTAACGCTCGGCCGCTCGCGGACAGCTTAGGCTTATAACAACAGTGATATATTCGTTTTTAAATAACAGATATATCCTTTGTCTCTGTTATTATAAGCCATAGAATTTGTATGAATACGCCGCATAGCGCAATGATGGATAAACAGACTTTGGAAGATATGTTGTCCAAATTCGAAATTTAAAACTTAGGTTATTTGGGCGGTGAAGATTCAGCGATTTTCAAAATAAGATTTAGATTATTTTTAATCCTGAAATTTTTGACAGCATTTTGAATACATCTTCTTTTTCCGAACATATAAAAAATTCAGAACGTTAGTTTCTGCCATAGGATAGAGCTGAGAAATTTATCTTAAAGGAAATTTTGAGGTTTTGACGATTTTTGAAAAACCGATGGCATTTGTCTTTTACCATTTCATGGCTATCTTAATCTTCATTAGCCTTTTTTTTTTTTGGTTATGAAGTTCCGAAATTTTCATTGATTATAAAAATCTGTTCGTTTTCTTTAAAAAAAAAAAAAAAAAAAAAAAAAAAAAAAATGCTAAAAAAACATAATGAGATGACTGGTTAGATTTTTTAAAACATGCTGCAGTACGACTTTAAGCAGAAGACGAACTTACCGTTCTTTTTTCCTATGTACAGACATTAGGATTTTTTGGAAGCAGGAGATTGTGAAAAATGAGCAATGTGCTCGCCGGAACTCGAAACACGGACCTCTCAAATACGAGCCGAACGTGCTGACCACTACACCACGAAGGCATGTTAAGAAGGCGGGAGAAACACCTTATACACTCCGCCTTTTAAAAGGCGACTGGGAATTAAGCGACCCAATCGCCATATCCTGGTGGTGG